ACTCTTTCCTTGTCATTTTTCTCTATACCTGAGTTACTGTGTAGTCCTTCTCCTCTAGTCGATCCTTGATTATTCGGATTAAAGGACCAATGTTATAGAACTCAGCTTCTTCTAGGACCCCTGAGAAAGAAAGACAGAAAGACCACAAAGACAGAAAGTTAACAGCCTGTCTTTGTATTTTTGGCTTGCAAAAGATAATTTCTGAACTTCCCTAGGTCCATAGGGAGAAATAACACGGCGGCTTCTCTTTCTCACAGATTTCTGCTGCTTGAAACTCTTACTGCAAAGAACTGAACCCTGGCTCTCTGCATTACCTTTCTAATGCTCACCCCCATTTCCTCATGCTGCCTGCTACTACAGAAACAGGCTCTACCAGAGAAGGCTTTTGCTGAGGACTGCTAATACCTCTCCCAAATAACTGGCCAAGAAGAATAAATGTAGGTTCCAGCCTCTCTCAATGACCACTAGTCATCACGTTGTTCAGGCCCTCTTCTTAAGGCAGAGAGCCATGATTTGTTCTGACATTATCACCAAAAGGCCCCAGAAAATTCCAACTTTCCTCCTGGGCCAGATGGAGCTGCACCCACCTTGCAGCCCCACATCACTTCAGGTGACCTTTGGCTCTCTCCTCTGTGCTTCACCTCAAAGCAGGTAAACAGAGAAGTGTTTTGGTTCTTCCCTGTATGGTGTCTGCATCCACCTCCTCTCCTGAAACTCACCTGTTTGCTAACAGGCCTTCAGGGAAAGGGAGATGTGTTCCCAGAGGTCTGGTGAGTGAAAGGCAGCTAGAAGCCAACATTCACACGTCCCCAGGGCAGTCCAAAGACAATGCAGGTGGGGAGACTGATCCTCATTCAGCTGTGAATTATCTAACAGGTTAGTTTTATTCCTGCCTGAGCTTTACCAGCAGGAACAAAAGGCAATGTTAACCTATGAATGGGAGTCCTGTTACGCTTCAGGTTTTATGTTAAAACCTGTGCATGAACTCTGTCTGACCTCAGGATTACAAGAAATGTCCTAGTAAGAAACACCCCAGAACTGTGTTTCTTACAATTCTGTACTATTGCTTAGATATATTTTTCGAATCACAAATCATAAGACAATTCTGAAGAAAAATCTGCTTGCATTAGGTAAAAACCCATAAGAGAGAGAGGCAAGAAGACTAATGCACATGCAGAAACTGTGCTTGGCAAGGGCTGGACAGCACAGCCTGTCTTTGGAATTGGCTCTTTGTTCAACTCTAGCTTCCAAAAAATAACGAGGCATCGGGGACTGTTGGCTGGTAACACCATGATGTTACTGAAATATCTATTGGATAGGATACTGAAATAACCTATTGGACTCTCTGCCAACCTCAAATGAGGGATTGGTTTGTTTGGCTTGCTCCACTGGAACTGCTGCAGTTCACAACCCATCAGAGCGCTAGTAGCATACATTGCATATCACTGATTAATTACCATCTTTATTACAGTCAGTAGAAGAGATGAGTTTGGTTTTGTTTGGTCTTCTGGGGTTTCATTCCTTATTAGAAACAGTAACTAACAGAAAACTCAGTTACAGAACCTGGTAAAAGTGGATCAGGAACAAGAGAAAAATAGTTTACTGAGGCTGAGAGATCCTGCATACTACTGCCTTCATGACATCTCTGCTGAACAAATAGTTGTGAAGCCACAACACCTGCAGGATGTCTTCCTCACCTACTCAGAAACTCTTCAGTAAAAGAAGCATCGGTATGTTCTCCAAAAGCTGCAGGGAGAACCTTCTCAAATCCCTCCAGATAAACGTCCAGAAGGAGAGTGAGAGAAAACAAGGTCAACAACAAGTCCTACTGTATCCTGGCTACAGCAGTGATGTTAAGTAGGAAGTTTCTGAGCTCCAAGACTCACCCTCTTCAGCCATATCTTTATCCAAGACCAGTTTCCCATGACGGAGGAAATTCAGAATAGGTCCAAAGTAAGTGGGGTCCCGATCTATTAGGTATGCACCAGTCTCATCCTAGCAACAGAGATACACCACAAGGAGAAAAACTCCATGGGAAAACTGTAACCAACCCTCACATGCTCAGGACTGCATGAAAATACAAAACTAGGCAAAACTGTCTACTATTTCTAAGACTCCTCGGAAACCATAGACCCCTGAGAGTCCCTAGCCAAGTCAGGTCAGCTTGGATTTTAACTCCTCTGTTGGTATGCTCGGCATGCCCAGCTCAGCATGGACCAACCCAGCTGAGAAAGCCATAAAAACGGGCCTCAGTCTCCTTTTGCAACCGTGTGTGCAGGCCCAGTGTGAGAAAGCAGAGAGGCCCCTTTTAGGGAACAAGGCTGAGTCGGGGGGATAGAGCTGGGAGACTCCAGGGATGCGGGGTAAGGATGTAAGGCAGGGCTGAAGGGGACACGGCCTCCAGCCTGGGAAGACAGGCTACACCACAGCAAGGCGAGATCTGGCAAGGGGAAATCCTTCCAGGGAGTGGGGGGAGAAAGAGCAGGCATGTTCCACTCGAGTTCCTCCTGCAGCTGCCGGGGTCTGGCTCCATCCCTGCATCGCTCCATCCCCCCCCCCGTGCTCAGAGCGGGGCGGTGCGGGAGGCAACCCAGCTGCCTTACCCGGTCCGACTGCAGCTCCTCGCCCTGGCACAAGCGCCACAGGAAAGATTTCTGCTCCCGACAAAGGGTCTGCCTGGTGGTGAGGAAGACGGTGCCCCCCACGTTGAGCCTCACCCACTTGGCCTGGGTGCCAGAGGGCGGCGGGAGGTCCCAGGTGCAGCGCAGCCCCACGGCGCCCTGCATCTCCTCCCCGCCCTCCATCCTCATCCTTATCCTCCTCCCCGCTTCCTTCGGCGTGCAGGTGCTGCCTGCCCGAGAATGCCGGGACCTGTAGTTTATCCGCCTCTCCCTCCGCAGCCGCGGTGTTTTCCGGGGGGGCAGGGTCTTCCCTGTCAGCTGCCCGGGGGTCCCACGCTCTGTGCCGGAGGGTATCGCTGCGGCTATTAGAGGTGGGCACAACCGCAGCTCCGCGGCGCTGAGCTGCCCTGGCTTCTCCCCTCTTCCTGCTCTCACTAACCCAGGGCCGGGCAGCAGTTCGGAGGCGCAGGGTGTTTATGCAAAAAAAAACCCTCGGCCACGTATTTCCACGGACACCCCCTCTGGCTCATTAAAAGGTTCTGGGAGCTGTAGTTTGCACAAAAGGTTGCTGGGAACTGTAGTTTGCCCAGCCCACTCTCCCTGCAGCAAGGACGCTGGAATGAAGTGGGTTGCACTGTGCTACACGACCCCAGCCCTGCAGGATATGCCTGCTTACTTCCAGGCTCTTGCCTGCAAGCTTTCCTGGCGTCAGGAAGAGCAGCCCCCTCCCTGGCAGCTAGCAGATGAAGCTCATCAGTGCTGTACTCCATCCACAGCTTTCCCTTCAGGAAATCCATTACCCCAGGCTCACAGCTCAATGCTGCAGCAGTTGCCACAATGGTCTCGTGTAGACAGTTGCCTTCTTGCAAACATATGTAGAGACACTTCTGGGAGCTGTGTCCTGGATCTGCATGCAGTGCTGGCAGGGGGCAGGAATAATTTTTCTTCCAGCTCAGAAGAGCTGCTGACTCAGCAAACTCCCCGGTGCTGCCCTACGAGCACTAACCATGCCAAAGACCCCCTGTGTCCTTCCCCTGTGCTCCTGCCATCCCTGTTTGTGTCTGGACAACAAAGTGCTCAGATTTCAACTTAGCTCTGTGTGGAGTTTTACCTCTGTCCCAGGCAGGTATCACCTGCTGAGGCCAATGTGTCAATCCTGCTGTAAGGAATCTAGCCCTGCCTCTGCCACTCGCTCCTGCCAGGCCGAGCCTGGAGCTCAGCAAGTCATGCCCCATGGGACTCTATTCAAATGCGCTCCTTGGCATGGACACAACCTGAAGGAGCTCCCTCTCCAGCAGCTCAGCTTTTCCCACTCCCATCTAAGCACAGCCGTGCTTGCCAGCAGCTCGAGCATATTGAGAATGGAAAGGCTGAGGTTTCACCTGAATGTGGCCAAAAGCTTTCCTTCACCTAAGCAGCTTCCTGGCTCTTCCTTGCCAGGGCAATGCAGCACTGCAGAGACATCGTGGTGCCTTGCAGACACTTTATTGATTTTGCACCTAGGTGTTTGTGTCGTTTCAGGTGGGTGTTTATTGAAGGAAGAAGGTGGATAGAAAGAAACATTATGTTTTATAGTCTTTTTTCTTCTCATCCTTCCTTCTTCTTTTACTTACAAATCGCTCCCTTTTATTACTACAGGACATTAAGGCAGCTTCACCCTTCCCCCAAATGACCCAGGACTTCCTTCACAAAGTAAGTGTGTAAGTGTGTACTTTGCTCCTTCTGTGGAGGAGTGCAAAGTGGAGGAGGGGAAGAGAGGGTAATACAGAAAAGGTTTCCAGATTGCTGACCTCCAGCTAATTTAAGCACAGGAACAAATCAGCTGCTGCAGGGTATAAATTCAAGTAAGTCTGGATCTCCATGAATTTATATCAGGAGCTGGCCAGCACTACAGTGACCAGTAACAAGAAGATGAAAAACTATTTTTGTCCATCTATATGGAGCAGACATTGGCCCAAATTAAATCCCAGCCCTTGGACCAGTCTCCACTGAGCAGTGGTGCATCAAAGATGCTCAGACTAACACTGACCTGAGCTGAAGCATCACACAGTGAATACAGCTCTGGACTGAGGGACTGTTGCCTTCCTACTTTTGGCTCTGAGTCAAACCATGACAAACTTGAGAGCCCTGACCTGCGCTCTGGTGTGTAAGAGATGCAGGATCCTGTCTGTACTGGTCACAGCTCCAGCAGAGAAAGGAGGTGAGGAGTGTGGCTTTCTGATATGAATGCAGTAGTTGGGTGGCAGCACTTAGTCCCTTATCTTGGCCTCCAAGAAATCTGCCCTGCCTTAGTTTTCTTCTTTCGTATATCAAGGGTTCACCCTGTCCCCCTTTCCTCCTCTCATACACAGCCCCTCAGTCTCTTGCTCCTCTTTAAGTCCATCTCTTGTTCTCAGTGCCTTCTTCTCCAAACTTTCCCATGTCAGTGCTGCTCATGGGTCAGGGATGGTCTGTATTCAGAGCACACCTTCCTCCATTAACACCAGCCTTCATCCCTGGCCAGCACTTCAAGTCTTGCTCACCCCAGGGTCATGGTGTGAAAGGTTAGTCAGTAAACTCTAAAGAGGTATACTATGAGTAAGTAAAGAGGCCAAGGCCACTCTTATCCCCAGAGCCTTCTTTTCTGCAACACACAGCACAACACTTAATGGAAATCCCCTAGACAATGGCATTCCCCATAGTACGTGAAAATCCTCTTTAGAAAGAAGTTAGTCTGAGGTGAGTTACAAACTGACACACTATGATGAGTTGGTGGTGTGGACTAAATACAGCCCTGATTTGCACACCATCGCCAGACATAGTTCTGAGATGCAACTAGCATGCCCTTGTTAAGGTCCATTCAAATCAAGCAACAGAACAGAGGAGAAATAAAGGAAAATAATCCAATGGCTGTTCCTCCTGCTTTGGTGATAACTATATATAAAATACATGCACAGAAACAGAGAGACAGGAGTGAGCAAGAGCTTACATGGGGCAGTGTGACTGTGTAATGCCACACAGCCCTGCTGAGTACTCAGTGAAATCACAGGGACAATTGCACAGAGGGCAGGAAAAAGTGGGCAGCCACTGGGTAGACAGGGGATGGGGCTGAGACAGAGTTGAGGTAAACAGAGCAGGGGGTAAAGGGAGTTTTTTGGTCCAGCAGCCAGCAGGTCTGTAGTGCAAACCTATGGAAAGCTACACACACTGCAGTGCTCTGTACATGCATTGCAGTCTGATGAGTCTATTGGCTACACAGCGTACAATGCATCACTGGCATTGCAGAGCTGCTCTTAGGGAATTGTTGCACTGTAGAGTGGCAGTTGGAGCAGGGATCACCATGTGTTGTCACAGACAGTGTCACCACTCTGGCAGGTTGGGAACACGTCTGGGTTTAAACCTGTGCAAGAATTTAGTTCATGAACACACACCGTGGCATAAGGCACCAGAAAATAAACTCTCTCCTCTGTCTTACTATAGGAATTGGGAAGGGGAGGGTGAGTAATGGTCTGACTTTTTTGCCATTAAGCTCAGTGAACAGGGCAAAGAAAATTTCCAAAACTGGACTCAGAGATGGGAAGAAGACAGTTCACCTGTAGCCAAAAGAGCCCAGCTCAACTGCTACTGAGCCAGGCGTACTGGAGCAGGAAGATAAAGGCCCCATGGCATGCAGGCAAACTAATCTTCCTCCAGCCTCCTTGTGCTTTGTGCAGCCTGTGGCGAAGGCACCTGCGTTCAAAAGAGTGTGTAAAGTCTGTGTGCATATGTGCATCACTCAGCACCTCTGCTGGAAGAGTGCTGGGAGGAGGAGAGAGAACAGTCACATAGCACCTGGCTGCATGCTGGGAACAGGAGAGATGGGAGGAACACAAAAAGTCCCTGCAGGTAACAGTGATGGCCATCCCTCATGCAGTGGTTGTTGGTGCAAAGGGACAGCGGTGCTGGCAGAAGGGCTGCTTTGGAATGTGGGAGTTTGCAGGACAACAAAAGGTTTGCAGGGAAGCAAAGTGTGAAATAGTGTAACCTGACTGCTAGGCAGCTAGGGAAGGAAGAGGAAGGAGGAGGACAAAGAAGACGTGAGGAACAAGGGACTGTGGGATTACTTTTGGAGAACTGTTGACCAGGCTGTTTTCACAGAGTCCAAAGCTGATTCAGGATGGAAGTATTGCAGATAGTAAAATATATCAATAAGCCAATAAAGAGTATACATGCTGGCCTGGGATTCTCAAACTTATATAGAGAGTTGTAAAAGCTCCAGTCTCAAGTCGGCCAAAGATCAATATGATCCTCTTCCTATATCAGGACTGGTTTTAGGCTACTTCTTGACCACCATGAGCCCTATCCCACCAAAAACATGCTATTCCCCTTTCCCTGTGGCACACTTTCCACAGGAGAGTTATGAACATTCCTATCCACTTTTCCCCTTCCCAGCTTCCAGTCCCCATAGGAAACCCACCCACTGAGTCAGGGACACAAAGATCTGCAGAACATTTATAGTCCTGGTGCAAGTCCCCTCAGCTGTTCCATATGTCCAGTAGCATCTGTTATGGCTCAAAATAGGTTTTTGCTGTCTTCAAGCTTTGAAAACATTGTCTCAGACTCCACAATGTTCCCAGTGCTTTGCCTGCAGCATGAAAACAGATCTCAACAAAAAGGAGGGAGAATATCAGAAGTCACTCCGTTTTTTTATATGTAAAAGGGCATACCCCAGGAAGACAAAGTATCTTGCCATGGGGAGAAAGTTCTGAATTTCTTCTCTGCAGGAAAATGAAGGCAAAGGTAAACGTCTGGTAAAAGATTTGCCAAAAGCTGGGAAACTGAAGACCGCTGAGATTTTGTGATTCAAAACGTGGATGAGAGAAGGGCAGTTTGAGTACTGCCAACCTCTGGCACATGTACCAGAGAGGGGGAAGGGCCCTGTCATGGAGCCACAGAGTCAAAATGCAGAGCAAGGGGAAAGAGAAATTTTTCACAGTTTGTGATCCCCACATGGATAGCTGGGCTGCACCAGACACCTCCCCATGACACACAGGACAGAGAAAAGCAGCTCAGTCTCAGGAAGGAGCAGAGAGATTCCCACTGCCTCTGGGACTGGGGAAGGTCAGTGGGAAAAAAGAAACACCACACTTAAGCTGCGCTGCCAAATGTTCATTAGGACGAAAGCAAAAGCTAGTCCTCTGCATCCATGGGAAATTATTAAC